GTAATCCTGCCACTGACAGCGTTTTCACTAGCAGCAATTATCTGATCTGAGATGCATGCTGATCTGACAGCATGAAGTGTCGATAGCCAAGGATTTTTTTTCCAATCTGACATTTTGACAACAGTTTTAAGTCTGTCAGGATTTTTGAAGTTGAAAGTCTTCTTTTTGGAAAAAAGTACATACAGATCTGACTTTTCCCAGCTATGGACCAGCTTTGAACGCATATTCATGGAAATAAGCCTCTTCCAATCTCTTGACTACTTAGAAGTTCAGCTGTAACGTTGGAGACAACATTGAATACAGACCTGGAAATGAGAAATTAGCTGTAACTCACCTCCTTTTCATGTTTATATTATAATTTCTCAAAGACATGCAAACAGATTTGAGAGCTTGTACTCCTTTTCAAGTGTAATTTGATTGCAGTATAAATTATTTACCCTGCAAACATAGCGTGCAATAGCAGAAAGATGTTCAAAGGAAAATAAAGAGGTGATATGGAAGCAGTTAATTATCAGTGTGTTTTTAAACCTACCCCTTTTTTATAAACACATTGTCACAGAGCTCTTATTCATGTGCAAAGTCCCACTGAGATCTCTGGTGCACCACTTGTATCTGGGCAATCACCTTGAGGGAAAAGACTCGGGAGTGGGGGCTTATTTCTGATACAAGAGTTTTCTGTGCCACGAAGAGGTTGACAGAATCATTTAAAGCAGATGTTTCACTGTTTCTTTTTCATAACGTTACATGCTTCCAGTTCAACCGGTGAAAAATGCTAGATAAAGAAGTAGGGTGTTACACAACAGAAGTAGGGTGCCACACAACAGTTCTCCCCTACCATCAGTGCAGGTAGATGTCTCCCTTGTCGTGGACCCTCTTTTCTGATGTAAACAGCTCCTACAGCAATAAAAAGTGAGAACTTTTCATGATAATAACAGATAAACTACACATAATTCTAAGAGTTTCTGGAGACGTGTCTTACTCGAAACACTTATATAGACTGAAGTCATAAAGATCATTGGCAAAGCTTCTCTTGAAATGTGGTAAATTCTTCGTAATTTTTCATCAATACATTTCACAACGCTTCTGCAGAAGACTGCCAATCATCATTTCATCTGAATCTGATTAAACAGAGCAAAGTGAGCAAGTGTGACTGATTCTGACCTAGTTTTCTGTTAAATGCTTTAAGAATAAATTTTTCTAACATTCCTGGTTTCCACTCAGCATAGTACCTACGTGGAAAAGGCAGGACAAACATCCCATAGGCAGTGTGAATGTGTTGAGACTTTCTCTGTTATGGAAGAATTTAAAAAAGAAAAAAAAAAAGAAAGAAAAAAAAAAAAAAAGAGCTGAATTAGAAGCTGTTAGGGCTCTTTTGTTAGTCAGTCACTTTCCTTTCCACCATGACTTCACAAACTTACATAGGCTGGGTTTCCATTGAAGCAAGGGATACATTAAGGAAATGGAATCCACCAGGGAAGAGGTAAATGGTTACTGAAGAAACATTTGTGTCACAACCTGCAGCCACCCAGAAGCAGCTGTCAAAGAGTTGGTGAGCCATAAAATGGCAAGGGTCAGCTGTCCTCAGGGACTTGTTTTCCAAGGTACAGTAATAAATCCAGGGCTCTTTCTAAGAAGGAATTTGGATTCCTTGGGTACTGGATGCAGATGCTTTATAGACTTCATGACGTTCATAACATGACGTTCAAAGATCTTATTCTTGTAAAAGCAAAATGAAATAAAAAACTTGTAAAAATGAATAAGCTTTTATTCCCAAAAAAATTCGACTCCATTGTCAGGAAAGAAATGTGCAAAAAAAGCTAGGAAAGGTGTACTGGACATAGAGATGTTAGTTCCCTCATTTCCTCAAAAAAGCAAATATTAGTTTTGTTCTTCACTTCTTCACTTACTGCCGTTTTCCTTTTCAATATGCTTTTGATGCAGTTCTTTCAGAACAGGAGAAAATAAAATCGCATGGTGACAAATTGGTGGAGAATTTTTTTATAGTGTAACACTGTCGGTCTTGTTAACGAAAGCATGTTTGTTTTTCTTTGTCTCATACTATTTAAACTTCCTGTTAACTTTGCTTGGAAATCCTTTATCTATATCTGAACCACAAGTTCTTTTCATCCTTTGTTTTTCAGCTGTGCTTGTTGGCTTATGAAATGATATTACCTCTGCCTACAAAACTTGACTACCTGACAGAGTCATAAGGCTCCTCAAAGCAACTGTCTAAACACAATTAAAAGTGAAAAACGGTGATTGTTTGAGATTGTATCTTTATGATCTTGGAAGATGTTAAGCCTTTGCTTAGATTTTCCAATAGTGCTGTTATCTATTAATTTAAGTAGGAAAAGCCCACACTGTATCACATTTGTGAAGAGGCCAGCATGTTCCCTCAATGGCATACTTAGCCACTGTAGAAGGACAGTAATTTGCTTTATCCACCTCAACTTTTGTATTATACGTTGAGCAAATTACTGTGCAGACTTTCCATTGTGCAAATGGGAAACTGAATTGGGCAGAAGTAGGGGCAGAGACAGGGGAGAGCAGCCACTGCCATCAGATCTCTGAGGGCTGAAAGCATAAGCTGAAGATCTGAAGCACATTAGAAGTGAACCTGGAGACAGAAGAGGAGTGTAGGGAATGCATGGTACAACAATGACATGTGGTGTCTATGGCTGGTCTGGAATTCTATTTAAATCAATGTGAATTTTCAGAAGTTTTTAATAGCTTCATGTCAATCTTTCCAAACTAACCTTCTCTGACTCATTCAGCATCCTTGTGTCTGTGTGTCCGCAGATCTTCATTGTCTTCCACTTTTTTGTTTATCATTTCCTGCTCACTATAGTAAGATCCAACTCTAAACATCCTGCCTTTTACCTGTGACATTTCAAGCAGATGCTTAGAATCATAGAATCACAGAATCATTTAAGTTGCAAGGGGCCCTTAAAGGTACTATGGTCCAACTCCCCTGCAATGAACAGGGACACCTACTATCGGGACAACAGCTATATCAGGTTGCTCAGAGCCCCATCCAGCCCAGCCTTGAATGTCTCCAGGGAATGGCCTTCTACCTCCTCTCTGGGCAACCTTCATGCCAGTGCTCTCAGCAGTAAGCTGAAAGGACTCTTTTCTGAGCATATTGGAAATGGATAAAGTAATACAAAATGGACTGGAAAGGACAAAGCTCCCACACTGATAGGATCAGAGAATAGTCTGGACTGGAAGGGACTGCAGGAAGTCGTCTAGCCCAACACAAAAATTTAACTTTTCGTTGAAGAAGTGTCTCATAAATTTAGTTCCAATCTTATTTTTCTGGGCAGGGTGGGGAGGAGTTGACATGCTACTTGAACTTACAGGGCTGGTAAGAAGACTGTGGTGGGATCACAAATGATGTTTCTGACAGTCTATTTTGTAGTAATGGGAAGATAATGGTAAAAAAAAAAGCATATACAAGACCAAGATTTTTGAAATTATGCTTCTGAATGTCTCCTGGGTTTTCATCAAAGTTATTAAGACATCTCATTCTCTGGAAACACTGAACGTTCAAACCTTTGAAAATCAGGCCCTTGAAAACTGATGCAAATCAGACAAATACAATCATATACTTCCAGAACCACCAACTATTTTCTAAAAAACTTACTGTGATTTAGATATTCCCTTTGTTGATAATCATTAAAATATGGTAATTGTTACCAGACCTCCGCTAAATTTCAAGAGAAAACTGATACTTACTTAAAAGTAACAGGAATTATGCTTATTTTCAGTTTCAAGAAGCAAATACACCCCTATCTAGCAATACTTCTTAATGAAGCATGTCTTGCATATCCAACTGCCAGACAAATTGGGAAATAAGCTTTCCTGATTGCTGTGCAGCCAGATACTTTCTTACTCCAGGAGAGCTGCCAGATTGCTCTCATTTAGAAAGATCCTCCTTCAGTCTGGAGGTGAGTTTCATTTCTCCTAGCTGTGGTGGAGAACTTAGCATTGTATGCGTTTCGCTGAGGCATTATATATAGCTGTGAGACTGCCACAGATTCTGATAAGCTCGTGGCTTACTCTGTCCTCAGCAGAATTCTGTTTTAACACCGCTGATTGACATTTCCTAACTGATCCACAGTTCACTACAAATAACTGTCTACCCCATTCTTACTTGTCTTGTACTCTACCACATGTAATGATTTGGAAATGCTTTAAACTCTTTTGCTATTCCCAGGAAATCAGTATATTCATTGCTGTATGGCTGGTTCCTCCATCAAGGAGATGGGAGTAAGTCTGTCCAACTACAAAGAGGTAATCTAGCAAAAATGGTCAAAAGAATAGTTAAAAGAATACTGTTATCAGTAGAGAGACTTTCTGGTCACAGCAACATAGAAAATGCCATAGCAAATTTGTCTAAGTGATGGCTCATCAAACTGTGTTTCTTGCTTCCAGAGTCAAAAGAAACTCGAACATTTCATCTTGAACATACTGATCTCAGAGACTTCAAGCTTGGTAATAGGTATAAAATAGAAAGTGACACCTACTTGAGTGAATGGAGAACCTCCCTTAGCATCCATCACGGCTTTTACTGGCATTTATGACTCAGTTATAGAGCAGACAGACTCCACATGGGTCTGATTAGCCACCCAGATGAATATATGCACATGGCATGGCAAAATGTGGCCAAAAAAGTGTGACACTGATGGTGGCCTTGGGCACAAGGAAAAGTGCTACAGGCTGAAGTGATAAGATACTATAGAAATGCAGTAGGGATAGCTGAGACAGAAGGGCTTGGTTCTCTTAAAGAAGAAAGAAATCTCTTTCTGGAATTTTTTTTTTTTAAAGCAACAACAATAAAAACCAAACTATCCTGTTACTACTGCATAGCAGGGGCATAACTTTCCTCGCTTGAATTCAAAATCTGTAAAGAAGTCTTTATTATCTACTAGACATCAAATGAATTTCCCATATTTAATAGAGAAATATACTGACTGGAGTTCACAGAATCACAGACTCACAGCATGTCCGAGGTGGGGAAGTACCTCTGGGTCCATCTGGCCCAACGCTTGCTCAAGCAGGGACATCCAGAGCAGGGTGCCCAGGGAAACGTCCAGGCAGGTTTTGGAGATCTCAAAGAAGGAGATTCCACAGTTTCTGGGCATTCCACAGTTTCTGGGCAGTGTATGCCACTGCTCAGTTATCTGCACAGTTAAGTGCTCCCTGACATTTCAGTTTGTGCCTGTAACCTCTTGCCCTATCAGTGGGCACCACTGACAAAAGCTTGGCTCCATCCTCTGCACTCTCCCTCCAGGTGTAGACTGATATTAATAAGATGCCCCTGAGCCCCCTCTTCTCCAGGATGAACAGGCCCAGCTCTCTCAGCCTCTCCTCCAGTCCCTTCATCATCTAGGTGGCTCTCCCTTTGACACTATTCAGTATGTCCAGCTCTCTCCTGTATTGGGAAGCCCAGAACTTGACACAGCACTTCAGGTTCAGCCTCATCAGTGCTGGGTAGAGTAGGTTGTGAAAAGCCTGTTCTTGCCCCAGTGTATATTGTGGCTACAAGTACATGTGTACAGGTGAGCTCGGACATGCAAAATATCCCTGTGGTTCACAGCAAACTGTTGTTGCCTTCTGCTTTTTTGGCTGTGGACAGGCCATTGCTCTGAGGCTGCAGGTCTCACATCACACCTCCATCACAGACCAGGCTGGGGTTATTGAACAGGCAGAAATTTTCACATTTGTCAACAGAGGCCGTGTCCTAAAAAATAAATAACAATAGTCTCTTATCTTCCTATTGAAGGAAAAATTAGAAGAGCAAATCAGCATCAACTCAAATTGTTAACCACATTGGTTACCAATAATCTTTGTCATCCTCCAGGTTTACTAATTAGTTTAATAGATAAGGATCTGTGAAGAATTCATCATTGTCTCTGTAATCCCCTAGCCACCAAACGTGTATTTATGTATTGTACAGTTGTTGCTAAACAAGAACAAGCCAGAGCAGCGCTCACGTCATCACCCCTGGGTTGCTGTGGAGATGAGTCACAACATTTCTCTCTCTCAGGATCGCTTCCCGCTCAGGGAACACTTCGAGGGTTTTCCCTGCCTGCGTTACATAGTAAAAAGCAAAATTTGTAAAGTAAAATTGATGATTAAGTTCTGCTCTGCTGGCAAATATAACTCCTCTGGTGATGATAAAACTTTTATAAATTGACTTCTGTGGCCATTCAAAAGTTCCCAAGCATATTTTTTTTTTTTGTAAAAACAGTTTTGCTTTGAATTCTGAACACTCTCATCCTCTTAATAAAAATCAAAACAAACAAATAAACAACAATAACAACAACAAACAACATAAAACCCAACGTTTAGAACAAGCCTACCCTTTTTTTTGTGCGATAAAACCAGTAAAGCACAGCCTGTAAGGTCTACTGATTGCAACATAATTGTGTCTCAGAGAGTCACTATGGATGAGATCCAAAGGAAAATGTAGGTAAAAAATGGTTAGTGTTTGCAGCTTCCCCGTCTTCACTATTGGGCCCACATAGACCAAGGATTTGCCAAATCAATCTGACTCCACTCAGTGCGTGATCCTCCTGCTATTGATTTAGACAGAGCACTTGGCAGACTTTTGTGCCACCAGGAGAGCAGGCAGTTCTTGACCTGGATGAAGCCAATGACAAAGACTAAAAATAAAACTAGAAAATGCATCATCACTCTGTTATCACTGTTTGAACCACATTTTGCATCTGGTGGTTGTGGTATTTCAAAACTAACATTTAAAGTCCAAATAGCAAATTGATGGTCTTACCTAAAATCTGAACTCTTCAAACCCACTGTCATCTCCAGCAGTGCTGTACAGTATGGTAGAACATCATGCTCCCAGCAACCCAGGAGCTCCAAATGCTTCTGGTACCAAACACCCGCACGGCTCTTGGAGTGACTGTATGCTCTGTGCTCAGCTACTACTCTTGGAAGGAGCCACTAATCACGTGTTTTCTGAAAATCTATTTATAAATTTCCTTTTCTCAGTAGAGTTTGAGGACATGGATCCTCCTACTATCACCTAGCTGTGTAAGCACTATGTAGGGCTACTGTAAAGCAGAGAGGGGTGTAAAAAGCTCCCTTGTCCTCTGACATTTTCCCCGGGGATCTGTCTTAGGACCAGAGCTTTTTAACATCTTTATCAATGACAGACAATGGGATCAAGCATCCCCTCAACAAGATTGCAGACGGTACCAAGCTGAGTGATGCAGTTGATCCAACAGAAAGAACGGATGCCATCTTGTGGGACCTGGACAAGCTTGAAGAATGAGCCCATGTTAACCTAATGAGGTTCAACAAGGCCAAGTGAAAGGTGTTGTGCTTGAGTTAGGACAACCCCAGATATGTGTACAGACGGAGAGAATAACTCCTTGAGGGCAACTCTGCAAAGAAGGGCTAGGGGTTTTGGTGGATGAAAAGACTAACATGAGCCAGCAGTGTATGCCTGCAGCCCAGAAGACCAACTGTATCCTGGGCTGCATCAGAAGAGGGATGGCAAGCAGGGAGCGTGAGGTTTTTGTTCCCCTCTGCTTGTTTAGCCTTGAGAAGTCTCTGGGGAGACCTCATTCTGGTCTTCCAGAATTTGAAGAACCAAATTTTTACATGCATAGATAGTAATAGGACAATGGAACACGATTTTAAGCTAAAAGACGGGAGAATTAGATTAAAAATTAGGAGGAAATTTTTTACACAGAAGGCAGTGAGGTGTTGAAACAGGTTACTCAGAGAAGTTGTGGATATCCGTGGAGGGATTGAAAGCCAAGTTCGATGGGGCCCTGGGCAGGCAGCCCGATCTGGTGGGTGGCAACAGGATGGGCTTTAAGATCCCTTCCAACACAAGTCATTACATGATTCCATGTATTCAGATTCTACATGGATCTGCCTAGAATCATCTAACAGAGCAAAGAACTGTGCAACATTACTGTATAGTGGAGAGTGTTTTAAAAAGCTCCCTTGTTCTCAGACATTTCTAGAGGATATGGAGATGTACATATTTTCTGAAATTCTATGTATAGTTTCATTTTTTTTTCAGCAGAGTTTAAGGCATGGATCCTTCTAACATCACTTAGAAATGAATGCATCTAAAAGAATGTTAGATACATATATTGTTGATTTTGGACAAAATGTTTTATTTTTATTGCAGATTTTTTTTTATAAAAATATAACATGTAGAGGAGAAAAATGATGTAAACTCAGGGTAATTCTGAATTAAAAACACAAAAGATTTATCATAAAAAGTCTGAAATGATACAGAGATTTCTTTGTTCATTTTCAAAACGAAATATAAAAATGATTTAGTAAATGGCCTTCTGGTTTCAAAAAAACTATGTTTTCCAATAGAAAAGGAAGGGAAGGGAAGGGAAGGGAAGGGAAGGGAAGGGAAGGGAAGGGAAGGGAAAGCTGTAACATAAGATTTTCTGATCGGCACCAGTGATTGAGAAAAATTCAGCAGAACAGAATCTTAAAAATTCCTGAAATCATAGGATCATAGAATCGTTACGTTTGGAAAGACTTCTAAGATCATCTAGTCCAACCACGAATCCACCCCTACCCTGCCCATTAACCCACATCCCTCAGTGCCACAGTGTTTCTTGAACACCTCCAGAGATGGTGACTTTGCCACCTCTGTGGGAAGCCTGTTCCAATACCTCACCACACGGTCTGTTAAGAAATGTTTCCTAATGTCCAACCTGAACCTCCTCTGGTGCAACTTAAGGCCATCACATCTTGTTCTATTGCTGTTACGTGGCAGAAAAAGTCAGTCCCCACCATGCTACAGCTTCTCTTCAGGTACATGTAGAAAGAAATGTAAACATAAAGAATATTTCTTTATTATTATTATTATTCCAAAAATAAAAAGGATTTTGCATCATATTGGAGAGGAAAGGCTACGGAGGCTCCACCTTGCATTTGGCAGGCAGCGAGGTCACCAAAAGATGCTTCAGGCTCCCGTGACCCATCCCAACACAGGTGGGAAGCCCATGGTGACAGAGGTTTCTGAACCAAAACAGCTCAAGGAGCCCTGGAGGAATGACTCACTTGTAAGGGGTGGGGACATAGTTGGAAAGCAGAGTCCACAGGGAGGATGCTTAGCCAGCTCCGGATGAGAGCTGCAAAAAGCCTGGGAGTTTTTATAGCCTGAACAGACCGCTGCTTCTCTTTTAACGTGGGAGGGAATGAAAAGGGGAGGAGAATGGAGGGAGGGAATTGTTTTGGTTTTTGTTTGGGTAACAAAATCAGGACGGAGCATGTGGTAGAGTTATCTAGCACTGCAATATTATGTCAGCCCATTTTGCTGACATAAAGCTATGTAGTGCATGCTGTAAGGCAAAGCTTATTCTGTGTTTTTTTGTTGTATGTCCAGTACAGAGCTGTTTTGGCAAAAGCTCCTGTGTTTCTGCAGGAAAAAAAAAAATGTGCTTTTACTGACAGATTATTTCACTCAGCCCAAGGAGATGATAAAGGAAAAAGATTACTGTAAGTTATGCTGCTTAAAGACCAATTCTGCCACAGCCATTCATACCAGAACACTTTTCCTGAGTTTTTCATCCTTTCCACAAATTACTCCCTGGTAATCATTTCAAAACCTATATTTATCTGACATGGAATTGTTTTCCCTTTTTCACTGCAGTTGTAAGTGGTACCATACAGATTTTTTCATTCTGGTGGAAAAGGATTTCAGATTATCCTGCATTTTTTGAGAATTGAGGACAAATCAAATGCTTCACTTCTATCCTTTTCAATATTTGAACATTTCCCTGGAGTTCGCTTAAAAATAAAATAGAATTGGAGTAAATGTCAATTAAACAGAGGGCATTATGGCTAAATTTAATTATTTTCACTTTCTCTAAGCCCAGCTCCTCTAGTGACTCAAAAGATATTGCCACTGTATTTTTTAATTTCAATTTCATTTAAAAATTAGTTGTCTACTGATTTTAGGCAAAATTGTTTCAAGCAGAAATACTACTTCCAGAGTGGAAACTATGCTACTCTTAGTCTTATATTTTTTAATGTTTGTTTTTCTAAGTCAAAGAGAACAGGTATTAAGTTCAGTAAAATTACGAAAGAAGTTCACATGAATGCTCTGAGACTGAAAACAGTATGGCTTTTTGCATAAATTAATGTATAAAACTTTGCCAAATCTCCTATCAACTGTAAAGATATGGCTGGATTCTTTATTGATTGCCTTTGTTGACTTTTTGAAGGAACAACTTGATATTAAGAGAAGGAAATATATTTCAAAAGAGCTTTGGGAAAATATTCACTGGGGCATAAGAAACAAAAAATAATGAACTGCATCTACTTTGGAATTACTGCACCAAAGAAAGAGAAAGTGTGAATAAATGAGAGGTTAGGACAGAATAGAAGGTATAGCATAAATACATCATTCATTTTAAATATGTCCACACACTCCCTCTGGTTGTGTTGCAGGGGTAATGTGGCCATGCCAATATTAGACTCACTGGTCTGGACAGTGGTGGCTGTCTCTTCATAGTGGTTCAGTGCTCAACATTCACTACATTGCTTTCAATGTAAGATTCATCTTATGTGCGTGTCTCCACTCTATCACCATCACTGTCAAGGCGTTGACTTTATCTGTATAGGAAATGTTAAATCTCCAGAGGAAATTTGGTACTCACTAATGTCTGCACTTTCCCTCTATTTGTCCTTCTCCCATTCCTGATTTCTGCCTCCATACCCATTTTTCTCCAGAGCTACAACCCTTAGCAATACCTGGAGGATAAGGTATACCAGCACAATGCCAAACATGAAATAAGATGTATGACAAACTGTATTGACAAGGTTGATCTTGGACTGTGCATGGAGGGACTGTTTGCAGCACACGACGACTCAGAGCAATAGGAGCTGGGTTACTGTGATGAATTCATTTAAGCCATGGCATCTAAAGAGTCCCAGCAAAACAGCAGTCTATTTTCTCCCCTAAAGGATGCCTTTTCTGTAGTCAGTAAATGTAGAAAGCTGAGTTCAATATATGCGTTTACTATTTTGGAACAGGCTTAACTTTGGAACAGGATAAATGTGTTGCTTTTCTGAGTGTCCCATGACTTCCTGCTCCCCATTTGGTGCTGTGAGGGCTGCCATGCAGTCTGTCCCAGCTCCCGTCCCTAGGTGATGGACCCTGCAGGTCTCTGAGTTGGTATCCAGCTGTGCATGGCTTTGTGGCTGGATGAGAAAAGATTACATTTGCAGTTGCACTGCTCTCAGCCCTGACTGTGTCCTGTCCCTTGTGTGTCTCCCAGCACCGCCTGTTGCACTGTCTATCCCATCTTGTTCCTATGTCTCCAGTTTATGGCGGTAGTAGGTCAGGCCTTCCACGAAGCAGTGTGACTTTTCTTCAGGTTCCCCTTGCTATGCTGGGTATAGTGAGTATCCCACACGTCTCAGAGTTCCTCAGAGTACCAGCAAAACCACAGAGCTGTGCAGACAAATAAACCTGTGCCATCCCAGACACAGCATTCTGCCACATCCCCATCCTTTGTCAGAGCCTGTGCAGAAGCATAGCAAGAGTCACATCACCCTTTGTATGGAAATCCACACATATTCTAAGTAACCTCAGCCTGAAGTCTCCGATTTCCAAAACACTGCACCCGGTGGAGCACAGAGCCCATACACAAATGGAGACAAACTACAGCCTTCTTTGAGATTCAGGTTTCCAGGATTTGGGTTCAACTTCATTTACTTATAGAACTCAATCCTTTTAGCCTTCAACTTCATCTACTTATAGAACTTAATCTCGTTAGGCAACGTATGGATACTGATAGACAGCACTGACCTTCAGGAGCATCCTCATTCCTGTGCTTTCACTTTAAGTGTCAGCATCACAGGAATGTCCCGTTCATCCCGTGAATGATG